CAATAAAAGTAAATAAACCTTTAAAAACTTAAAAAAAAAAAAAAAATGTAGGCTTTGGGAGCTAGATGGCCTGTGGCAACTACCAGATTCTGCCACTGAAGCTCAGAAACAGCCAAACAGGAGTGTCTTCAGAAAGATCTTACACATAGGTTTCAAAATATTTTGCACTAAATAAGATATTTTACTTTTAAAAAAACTTTCATTTATATGAAAAAGAAAGAAGGATAATCTTCTACCTACTGGTTCATTCATTCCCCAAATGGTTCTAACAGCTAGGTGTAGGCCCAAACCAGGAGCTCCATCTTGGTCTCCACATGGGTGGCAGGAGCCCAGCGCCTGGGCCGCATCAGCAGGAAGGCAGATGGAAAGTGAAGCAGGTGAGAACTGAGCTGGCACTGGCATATGGGATGGTGGCATTGTAGGTGCTCCAGACAAGAGAGGGTAAGCATGTCAGCCATCCCAAACTGGCAGTGACAGAGAAGGAGAGCTGGGAGAACTAAGAGACGGTCTAAAGTTAAAGAAGACAGGGAAGGAAAGCCAGTGGCTGGTGAGCTGTGAAGGGGAAGCCAGAGGCAAGCAAGGCTCCAAGGACTTCAGACAGGTGAGTGGATGAGTGCGGATTCTAACCTCTTGAACAGCCGTCAAGAGGGAGAAGGCGGGATGGGGGCAAGAGACTGAGCAACAAGTTGGGGGTGACGAGCCCACTGCCAGCCAGACATGTGGAAGACATAAACTGACACAAAGCCCTGGGAGGGGACAAGACCTGAAAGCTGGCGCAAGGAAAGGAACACAACGCTAACTATAAAGGATGAGCTAAGCACAGCGACAGAGCGGCAAAGGAAGGACAGAGCTTTTAATAACAAAAGAAATCACCTGCAGTAAAGATGCAGATTTTTGTAAAGACAAAAATTGAGACTTTACCACAACTGAAAAAAAAAAAAAATTGAATGCCTGGATTTCACAATCAAAAAGGTGAGTGACATGATTAAGAGTTTATTTTGGTCAAGTGAGCAACAGCCTGACAGTGCTGGACTAAAGTATTAGAGATTGTAAGTAAGACTATTCCTTCAAAAACTCTGAGACAAAGGGGAGGAAAGTCCGTGACAGGCCTCAAATGAATAGGGATCTAAACTCATTTCTTTTCCTAGGCAACAGAGACTAAAGCATTTACAGAGTAAGAAAGTGCAGGTTGAAAGCAGTCTGCAACAGAAGGAGTGCAGACAGCATTTCAACTGCAACAGACAGCGCCCCCACATCTTATCTATTGTAGTGCTAATGTTTCTGATTCTTGGTCATCCACCATTCCACCTGAAATGTTCTTTAGCTTTTTTTTTCTTTTAAGGAAGCATTTCAAATATCAGAAAAACTAAGAATACTATTAAGAACATACACAGCGGAGGGAAATCCCAGAACCTATGGAACTGTATCGTAAAATAATAATAAAGATTTTATATATATCTACACGCACACATACATAATGCCTTACTAACAAAAATGTGTTATTCCCAACATCTCCTTCCTCGCTGAGTGGCTCTCAGGTTAACCTTGGTATGTTAACTGCATTTTAATTCATCCCTAGTCAACCCCGATATTTTCCATGCTTCTTACTTTGTATCATATTGCAAATGAACAAACAAAATCATTTTGGAACAATCTGTAAACGAACTATTAGAATATACTATTGAACAGTGAATATTCTTTTTGCTTAGGAGTCATGTTATTGGAGTTGGATAGGAGACTTTATTTTAAAAATACAGAGCAGTATCAGAATGACTAAAGGTGAAGTGTCATGAAGATTTGTGTGTACACGCATCTGCTGTTCTTTAACCAAGCAAGTTCAAATTTTCATGGCACTTCACCTTTAGCCACCATCACAGCTCCAGAAAGTCAAACAAAAATAAAACAGAGATTTTAAGTCTGATTAAAAACCACTGGTAAGTAACTACTGGGGGGGGGGGGGGCATAGTCACAAATTAGAAGGCCAGATCTCAGCTGTCCAGCTTGATCAGCCTACAGTTCTTTTAATAACCAAAAAGAGAGGGCCTGGTGTGATAGTGTAGTGGTTAAAATCCTCACCTTGAATGCACCAGGATCCCATACAGGTGCTGGTTCTAATCCTGGAGGCCCCACTCCCCATCCAGCCCCCTGCCTGTGGCCCGGGAAAGCAGTCAAGGATGGCCCAAAGGATTGGGACCCTGCACCCATGTGGGAGACCCGGAAGAGGCTCCTGGCTGCTGGCTTCAGACCAGCACAGTTCCAAGCCGTTGTGGCCACCTGGAGAGTGGGGAGTGGGGAGTGAACCATCAGATGGAAGATCTTCCTTTCTGACTCTCCTCCTCTCTGTGACGTTAACTTTCAAATAAAAATAAATAAATCTTTAAAAAAAAATTGAAAGGAGAAAGCAAAAGTAAATCTAGGAAGGGTACAAAAATCAATGTATTTGGGGGCAGGATGCGGTAGCCTAGCAGTTAAAGTCCTTGCCTTGAACGTGCTAGGATCCCATATGGGCGCTGACTCTAATCCCGGCAGTCCTGCTTCCCATCCAGCTCCCAGCTTGTGGCCTGGTGAAGCAGTTGAGGATGGCCCAAAGCCTTGGGACCCTGCACCCGTGTGGGAAACTCGGAAGAGGATCTGGGCACAGCACCAGATATTTCTCTCAGTCTCTCCTCCTCTTTGTATATATCTCAGTTTGCAATAAAAATCAATCTTAAAAAGAAAAAAAGAGCAAATATGAGGGCGAGTTTGGGAAAGAATTTTATTGCTTCATCTCATATCGGAGTACCTGGACTCTGGCTCCAGTGACAGCATTCTGCCAGTGTGGACTGTGGGAGGCAGTAGGTAAGACCTGGAATCAGCTCCCAGTTTTGGCTTTGTTTTGGCCGTCATGAAATCTGAGGAGCCAACCATGGGATCAAAGTTCTTCTTTGCCTCTCAAACTAAAACACTAAAACCCACCAACCAAAAACCCCATCTAGAGCCCCCTGCCCCAACGTAGTTAGATTTGTGTTCCTATAATTCAAAACTACAGATCAGAACACGACTTGCTGAACTTGCTCATACGGTCTGGTATGCTGTTCTTCACTGACCATTAAGCTCCTTTTAATGTATACAGTGAAGACGACGGGGGCTGGATCCAGCTCCTCCAAGAAGCCTTCTCCAGCTCACGGCTGCAAGGGACACCCACAAAGATCTGTGAACATAAACAGGGACAAAATGCTGGTAGGTGGAGATTCAGAAATGTGCGTTACAGGACAAAAGCCAAGTGTGGCTCTTCTCCAGAGTGGTTAGCTATCATCACGTGCATTCTAACTGCAGAATTCACTTCCACATGAGAAGGCAAGCTTTGTTGCTACGGCCCCTCTCTAGGACTCCCATCTGAAGGCACACCTGTGTATTTTACTAAAACACCCGTTTCTGGGAAACAAGATAATTATATTCCTGTTATTTCCACTTCAAAACTACCTTTGACCTTTCACCTCTCAGTCAAACCGAAAATATGTATTTAACATATTCCCTAAATATAGCCTCTTATTTGTTCTCTTAATTAACATAACACCTTATTTATTAGTTCACAGCAGGCTAGCAAGCATTTGTTGTACAATCTCCCTGAAGGCTTTCATCACATTTTTTACTATGTTGATGACCAATTATCTGGGCTTCCAATCTAACTTCAAAGTACTAACTGCCTATTTCCTGGAATCCAGATAGGTCTAAAATGCTTCTTGAAAAGTGTGTGTCCATCTACAGAAGTTAGGGAAAGGATTAATATTTCATTAATATTTCATCTCTGAAATATCAGTCGCTATGCTGATGGCTTTCGCATGTCCTATAACTTGATCCTCAGAGCAGCTTCAGTGCTGATGTCACTGTCCACGCTTTTTACAGACGAGTAAAGATCGGAAGAGTTATTTGACCAAGTTCACACAGTCTGTAAGAGGCTAGAAGAGTAGGGAGAAAGTACTGAATTGGGGCAGTAACTTAAATGTGACTCCTCGTCTGCGTGCTGTTCCTCCTTGCCCGGCACATCCAGGCTGTTAGCAAAGCACAGCGTGGTGTTTATGAGCGTAACGTTGGAGTCACACATCTCGACGAGTCCAGGATCCGCTCCTTATTAGCTGTGGAACACCATGGTATACTGTACAGAGTAGTCCCGGGTGTATATAGAACAGAGCACAGAGGTAGAACGCGAGCCACACCACATGAGACAAGTAGGAAAGACACAGAGAATTAAACAAGCTGCCCAAAGTCACACACTGGGACACAGAAGAGCACAGACTCAGAAGCCAGGTCTCTTGGCTCCAGACCTTGTACTTGGTCAGCAGGCTACACTACCTTTTGGAAAGTTTTCAGGTCTGACAACCTGGATTTTATTGAGTCTAACACCTTATCCTCAACTGCGCTTCCAGTAAAGCTATAAAATAAATGAATAAATGGATGATGTGAGCACACCTACTAAGTTATCAGAGAAGCTATCAGGACATGTTGAAACAAACTGAGCTTTCAGAAAAATTGTTATCATGTATTAATTCCTGCCAGTCATCAGTGAGCTGAGAAAAGCCATTCTGAGGCAAATGCATGTGCTCTATTTGGCACGTTAATGCATGAGCCTGGACAAGTTATTTCATGTCCTGGTACCTCAGCATCTTTAATGCAAAAATGGATAAGAACTACCTGTTTTGGGATTGTTGAATATTAAACTCAAAAACATGTACAAATGCTTAGCTTATGATCTGAAAAAAGAAGTGCTTGGTTTTAAGCTGTAAGCACCTTAGTAAACAGGGCAGAATCTATTGGGAGAGGAAACTGACAACATCATCACTTTGAAAGTAGGCGAGGCAGCTAATTGACAGCAGTGCTCATTCATAATTTCCTGCATAGAATTGTGACATTAAAGCCCAGATCCTGATAAATATACATCACCCCAAACCTCGGAGTTTATTTGATTGCGGCCCTGCTGGGGAAGGTAGAGTTCGAGTCTGGTAAGAAACACCTTCTCTCACCTGACTGGTTTCTGCTGCTCTGCACCTCTCCGTTACTCTGTGGCTGTGGACTGGTTAAAGCACTGCTTTCTGACTGGCTGCTTAACACCTTAACAGCAGATCCCAGGTTGGCTGCTATGACTGGAAAATGCTGACCCCTCTTTAGAAGCTGTTTATGTTCCTGGTGGCGAAATCGTGGAGGTACTTCGCGAGGATACCGAGGCAAGGCCTGTGGTGGCGGCTGCTGCTGCGGCTGCGGCTGCTGAGGCTGCTGCTGCTGCTGCTGAGGCTGCGGCTGTGGCTGTTGTAGCTGCTGCGGCTGCGGCTGTGGCTGTTGCGGCTGCGGCTGCTGCTGATTGTTGGCTGTAGCTCGCTTGGCATTATTATTAGTGCTGGTTGCTGTGGAAGTGCCGTTACTAGAGTTGGCAGGCTGAGGCTGGCTTACACTGGGCTTTATCTGTTCTGGCACTAATCCCAACAAAAGAAAAGGGGTGGAAAAGATTAGCCAGTAAAGCATACCTCCATAGTAAGCCATCTAAATGCAAAGGTACCACGAAAAACAGTTGAGACCAGTACACAGGGCAGCTGCACTTGGGGCTCCATGGCTGCAGGGAGTCAGGCTCTTCTGCTAACTACCTATCCAATCCACACGCACCATCTGGTCTCTCAAACAGCACAAGGATTCACCACAAGAACAAGTCAACTTTTTCTGGCTTCAAAAGAGTTCTTAACTTCCTCAACACTAACTATTCATTATTCTACCTCTTTTTTTTTTTATGTTTGGTTCCTATTTTTCATCTTTAGAAGATAACACAAGAGCAAGGGAAGAAAGCCTGCCTTTTTCACTGCTAAAACGTAAAGTCTGAATCATGCAAGATAGACTCTGAATATGTAAGTTAATGTAACCACTGAGTCTATGAGGATAATCAAACTTTGAGGCAAAATTATAGATGCACTATCTTAGCTAAGTCTAAGCAATGACCACCTGTAAACTAAATGAGAACAACTGGAAACTGTTAACAGTGACATTCCAGTCACCTCAAAGAAAGAAGTGAAACTGTTGACAGCATCTTAATTCAGAAAAAAACATCGCCAATCTCCCAAAACCTCAGAGAGACAACACCGTAGAGAAGCTGACAGACCCAGGCTTCAGTCCCAGCTCTGCCCCAGAGCTCTGAGTCCAAGGACAACCTGTATAAACTTCCCGTTACCACCTCTGGAAAATGGGATTGATGCCTAGGCTGTGCAGAGTAGCCAAAGGTTAAAGGTCTTCATGATCACACAGCACACACACAACAGCAGAACACAGGGCTATAGAAACAGTGCCTGTTCTTTAAGGACAATACAAAATTACCTCTTAAAAAAAACTGGTTTCCTTGTTTTTTGGTTTTTAATCTGAAAGGAAAAGTGATGGTTTCTGGCCACTGACTTACTTGCCAAATGACCACAATGGCCTATGCTGAGCCAGGCTAATGCCGGCACTGGAACTCAAGCCTCCAACAGATGTGGCAGGAGCCTAAGCACTTGGGCCATCCAATGCTGCCTTCCTGGGCATGCTGGCAAGCAGCTGGCTGGGAACCGGAGCAGCCAGGACCCAGACCAGTGCACACATGGGATGCGGACACTGCTGGCAGCAGTTTGACCACTGTGTTACAAGATGGCCTTACAATACCACTTTATACTAGTGTAATAGCTTAATGTTCCAGGGAGATTTTGTTACATCCTCACAGATATCAATAACAGGCAAGTGAAACATTACGTCATTGGTGAGGATACAGAAAGAAAACTGTATAGTGGTTAAGACCATGGGCCCCAGGGGCTGGCGTCACTCAACTGACTAATCCTTCACCTTCAAGCTGGCATCCCATCTGTGTACCAGTTTGTGTTCCGGATGGTCCCCTTCCCATCCAGCTCGCGTTTATGGCCTGAGAGAGCAGTCGAGGATGCCCCAAAGCCTTGGGACCTGCACCTGCCTATGAACCCTGCCTGGCTTTAGATGGGCTCAGCTCTGGCCATTGTGGACATTTAAGGAGTGAACCAGTGGATGGATGATCTTACTCTGTGTAAACCTGTCTTTCAACAAAAATAAGTAAACCTTAAAAAAAAAAAAAGTTGCAAGTCCTGAATATCAGGCTCCTAAAAACAAACAAACAAACAAAAAACCACTAGTCCTAAAATTAAAATCTCTCAGGCCTGGCGGCGTGGCCTAGCGGCGTGGCCTAGCGGCTAAAGTCCTAGCCTTGAACACTCCAGGATCCCATATGGGTGCCGGTTTTAATCCCGGCAGTTCCACTTCCCACCCAGCTCCCTGCTTGTGGCCTATAAAAGCAGTCAAGGACAGCCCAAAGCTTTGGAACCCTGCACCTGTGTGGGATACCCGGAGGAAGTTCCTGGCTCCTGGCTTTGGATCGGCATAGCATCGGCCGTTGTGCTCACTTGGGAAGTGAATCATCGGACTTAAGATCTTCCTCTCTGTCTCTCCTCTTCTCTGTATATCTGACTTTCCAATAAATAAATAAATCTTTTTTAAAAAATTAAAATCTCTCCCCACCTCCTACCTGAGTTATCTCAGTGTCTTTCTCTTGCCTATGGAGTAGGGACCATCTCTGTCAAGTGACCAGCATGATGTAACCATTCAGTAAACAAGTTACGATTGTGGGTGAATTAAAACAAATATTTATCAAATGCCTATGCCTGCAGAGAATATGATCCTCTGACTAAAACTGTGGCCACCTGCGTTGGCAAGTCTAGTCATAGCACTTCCTTTTAGTCTCAGCTCATTCAGCAATCTAACTTCACCACTGGCTGTGTTAGCCAAACATCTGGTATGTTCAGTCTACATCACTCATGGTAGTATTTTTAAATATGATACTGGACATTGTTTTTCCAGTATGACTTCAATTTCTAAAGTAATGCAAGTCAAATGTAAGGATGAATCACAGTAAAAAAAATTACAAAGATCTTATCCACTGTGTGGAACCATGTCTTTTACTAATAATTTAGTTCAAGTGCTTTCTGCATCTGCACATAAAAATTTTGTTTCTGAGACAATGCCTTCAATGTGTGCATTCCTTTATGTGCATCACACAAAAATAAATGAGTATTAGCTATTAAAGACACTTACGTCATGAGGACAATAAAGCATTACCACGTTATAAAGCTCCTCCAAAACCAAAAGCTTCCCATTAACTCAAAATTATAGAGAACACAAAGACCCAGTTTTTATAACCTGAGTACTCAACTGAACACTGTATTTAGCAACTCAATGTAAGCAAGGTGGTATAATTAGTGCAGCAACAATACAGACTTGCCACTTTACTATCATAAAGCTTAAAATGTCTTAAAACACACACATACACACAAAGAGGTAATAATTTTATACCTAAAACAAATGTTACATGAGAAAATGCATTTCATATATTAAAAAAACCTAGATATCCTGCAGCTACTCTGTCAACAGCCTATATAAAGACATGGTTACAGGTGACTAGAGTTGACAACAGTATCTGCATCTGTGACCCAGAGACCAACCTCCAACTCAGCTACAACCAACCATTGTTCACAAGCCGTACAGTAGCGCACGGGAACCAACGCCACGCCAGGTGCTCATTGAGCGAGCAGGGGAAAATCCACTGAAACCAGCTAACACTTGAGACAATGATCCAAAGATTAAATAATGAAGTATCATCTCAGAAATAATTGTGAAATGGTAATAATGAATAAAAATCAGTTAAAAGTAGGGAGAAAAAGGGTTACTGGAGAACAGATATAAATACTGAATAATTTTGGCTACTTCGTATGTTCAATTAAAAGTTTAAACTTTATCAGTAAGCACAGAAATCACTGGAAGAGAGGAAAGTGAATATTAGAAAACTTGTTCCATTCAACAGATAAAGAAAATAAGAGCAGAAAGATTTCAAAATTATGGTTAATAAAATACATAAAGATGCCAAGAGCAGACTTAAAATATTTTTTATCTCAATAAATATGGATGGGTTAAATGTACTTGTTAAAAGACACAGTGTTTTAAACTGAATTAAGAAAAATAAAGAATATATTTTGCAAAAGCAATACAGGAAATCTAAAAAGTAGACATATACTACCAAGAAATGCAAGGAAAATTAAAATTAAAGCAATATTAATTAGAGAAAATTAAAGAACAAAACCACTAAAATGAAGAATTATTTCACACTAATTAAAGAACTGTTAAGAACATAACATCAATACATGGACATCAAATGGAACTGGAAAAGAAAAAACCACACACTTTGGAAAATGGGTTGTATCTTTTTGAAGAATATCCATCCATACAGTATCAGTCACTTTAAAATCCACTCACACCACTCTTCCCCATGCAACACTAAAAACAAAACAAAAAAAAAAATCAAAAAAAGAGCAAGGAGTATAATATTCAAATATTTCAGGATGACAATACAAATTCAAGACAAAAAATGTCACTAGAAACAACAAAACTAGCAAATAAAAATGTAGGGCTATCAAAAAAGTAATTACAATAAATTTTTAGATGCTGCTAAACTAGTACTCAGAGAAACCTACACCCTTAATTATTTCCAACAATGAGGAGAGTCTATAATCCAACTGAAGAAGGTAAAAAATTCACTAGAGGGAGGAGAAGCAATGCCTCACTAAGAATGAAAGCAGAAAGCAGGATTTCAAATACAAAGCAATAAATCTAACACACGAAACTAGGAAACAGATAACCTTTTAACAACAAAATAAGTTAAAAAATGATTTTCTAAAATTAACATACTGCTTTACACATAATATTTATAAATAGTTTGAAAACACAGAGAGAATGACTGAACATGGACAGAAGAGGCAGAAAACTTAGTTTAATCAGGTAAAACTAAAGCTTTCATAGAAGGAGAAATTTACTAAAACATTCTTGAGGATCACATATTTTTACTTGTTAATTTTGTGTTTTTGCTTTTTTCCCTACAATACCTTTATGAAACGGACTCCTTCAAATCTAATAACATTTTGGTGGCCTCAGCACCCATGAAAGATGGAACAGCAACACAAAATATTATCAGTAAGTTATATAACATGTTAGTAAGTCCAAACTTCAAATGTAGAGTGTCTAGAAAGACAAGAAACATTATATGCAACCCACACCAACAGATCGAAAAGCCAGCTAGTGGCTCTTCACATGAAGGGCAAGGTGGTGAACATTCTAGATGTACAAGAGCAGGTGCACATGGGAGGTAAATGAGTGGCTGTGGCTATGCTCCAACAATACTTCACACACTGAGAAAGCCAGATTTGACCTGCAGACTGCACTGTTCCCCTGCACTATAAAGCAAAACTTACCAAAACAGGCTAATTGAAGAGGAAATCTGGGATTATAAATAACATTAGACATTAATGAAAGGTTTTCTAAGATGCATTCCTTAAAAAGCACAAGGCCCACCGGCGTGGTAGCCTAGTGGCTGAAGTTGCCTTGCACA